ATCAACTGACAATTCTGTAAATACGAATATTCACGAAACCAATTCTTCACAATTATAAGTCGAGAATTTTGTGACAAGTAGGCCCTCGGCAATAATTAAGTAACTTACAGTAGTTGTTTATAACATTGTCAAAAGTTTTCCAAGTTGTGCTTAAAGAATAATGCACAATAAAATAGAAAATATGGTTACCCGATTGACTATGCCAGTGTGTTCTCTCGTTATAAGCGAGCACAAGGTTGCTCAGGGCTGCACTCAGTTTCAACCAAGTGCAAATATGTGAGCCAGCCTTTATGGCCTATTTACAATCAACTGAAGGTTCTGCACGATTTCCAGTAACGAAACTGAAGGTGTTGTGCTATTCGCAGCAACTTGACTGAAGGTTTTGCACTATTTGCAAAATCTGATCTATGTGCTATGTATGAGAAATGGTCAATTATAAGATTGTCACGATTATTTCAAGCCCACGGTGAAAGCATGATGCTTACAAAATAGTCATGCCCGAATAGTGGATTTTTAGTTTGAAGGAAATAGTGGTTTTGGCTGAATATTTTTTAATCGAATATCGAATAGATTCTCAATCTTTTACTATTGTGCACCGCGCTTAAACAAGAATTCAGCTGAGCTCATGAAGGTTGTTCCAACCTTTCTCTTGTCTACTTCTCAACTCAGTTAATTTTAATGTAACTATATGAACTATGGTATGTAAACAAGAGATTTGTCAAAGCTATCCTAATCGAGGGGATTTCTAAATCTGCTTTCTCTATGTAAATATTCTTTCTTCTAACTCAATTGTAACAAAAAAACACACAAAAAAAAAAACAAGCATGAACGATGAACGTAGGCTGTCAAGACATGACTGCTTAACATATACTCTTCCATAATTGCGGTGGATCAGCCCCGTTGATTAAGCTTCTCACAGAGCGCCTTCGCACTATGGGAGTGCAATACCCACGGAGCAGGTGGGCTCCACAAGTATTGCTTCCCCGCAGTGCTCGGTGAGAAGTGCACTCAACGGGGCTATCCCGTTGCAATCTACACTTTAAAAAGTTTGAATGTCAAAGTTACCTCGAAGTGTATATCGAATAGCATATTATTCGAAAATTGAATTATTTGCACAACACTAATCATAGCTGATAAAGTTGGGGACGCACAGAACGTGTTCCTTAGCAGCACGGCGATACTTGGCTAGCATCATGCTAGTGCCGGTTGAAAATCGGCCCCGATATCGGCCGAATGTGCGGTTTTGCACCATGTTCCGACATCGGGCAGGTACTGGTGCACACTGTTTCGCCACCAGCCTAGTATCAGCGGGATATTGTGCGAGTACTGCCCAGATCGGACTGCCGGCCAGGTATCGGCAAGATGTTACATATGCATCTGCTCTTTGTCGGCTGGACGTTAGTTGCCGATATAGGGCATACACGGACAATCGAAATTGTTTTCGATCTTTCCCAGAAGTTTTTTAAGTCACTGTCATTACACACAACTTGTTCTCAGGATGTTCACAGAAGTGACACTTCTGTGTGGAACGGAATGTAAACTATTAAATAGAAGTGCACTGTTTTCATGTCAAGTAATACTCGTAAACCAAACACGAAGGACCGTGGAGAATAGAAAGTTTTAGTAGATCGATCCGAGACTTGATAACAATCCTTGATACTCCGCAGCCGCCTTTCCGCATACATCGTATCGTTATTGGAGGTGTCGGAACAATCTACTAAAACTCTGCTGAAACGGTAGCGGAACTACTCTCAGAAGCATGCTTGCAGTGCACTTATGAATAAAAACAGCAATATCATGTAATCTGTGATACATGCATAATCTGACTCGGGCTGCACAGAGCAGCGCAAACTCAAAGTCGAGAAAGAAGAAGGTCACCCTATATTCATTGAAAGTCTAGCTGTCGCCGATGAGCAGCTCTTTGTCAAAGCGCGTCCAGCAAACACAGCACAATAATTCCATGGACATTGAGAGAAAAAAACAGCCATTACTGAAAAAATGGCATGGACGCATTCCGGCTGTTCATGTCGAAAAACCACGGCCATGACTGCAACACACAGAACACTGAAGAGTGCATTTCGGAAACTGGACCTACGTGGCCCCCTAGCCATCACGATAACTTGGCAAAGGGCTAAGACTACGGCAGTAGTGAGCCCATCAGCATTTCAGAGCGAGTCAAGTGATGAACTTTCATCTAAGCATTTTTTTCCTACAGAAAGCGGTCACATGTTCCGCTCCACCTCTCTGATTTGCTTGAAGTGATGGTCGTGCTCGCTTACAGCCACACGAAGACACAAAAGAAAGTGGGGAGGCTTAATAAAAGGCAAGGTCGAAGGGAGCTAAACACTGCAGATAATCTCTCTCTGCCTCTTTGCCTGTCTTTCTCGGCTCTTTGCCTGTCTTTCTCTGGCTAAAAGTAAGCAAACACCGTTTTGCCTAGTCTTTTCTGTTTTTTCTACGTCGGTGTTGAGGCGGTCAAGAAATTGAAATACTTCGCCGGCATAACCTATTCACAAAGGACACTCTCAACACTCAACTAAAAACTTCACAGATATTTGCCGAATCAAAATATATCGACACAATCTTTCCGATTTGTCACCAATATCGGCGCAATACTGTGTGCTGCCTGGGTTGCGAATAAGCTGGGCAGATGCTGTGTGTGTGTGTGTCACGTCATGAGGCTAGGTGACGTCAGGGTGTCACATGATGGCTTGGTGTCAAGGCCATTTACACAAACTGAGCTTTGTTACGTCACGGCGCGATGGTTGCATGTCAGGCGCACTTCCGGTCTTGGGCTGTAGGCAGAAGTTACCATGTGGGACGTGCATTCCTATGTTGTTTTGGAATGAACCAGAGGAAAACCTGTCTTCTCATCAAAATGCTGCAACCGGGGTTGTACCAAAAGAGTCGGGAAAGGTTTGAAGGTCTGTTTTCGTGTGTTTTCTGCCTCCTCGGTTTGTCCGAGAGCATGGATAGGTGCCGTGAAGAAGGAAAACCAGACACCGTCGGACCATGATTTCTTGTAGGGGAAGCACCTTGGGTTGAGTTCACGGATACTTGTGGTCAAATTTATTTGGTTTGTCCCAACATGAGCTTGGGAAAACCGCCAAGTTGTACGGACCACCTACTGACTATGTTCAGTGCGTCTTCAAGTTCAACAACCGCCTGATTGCCCAAACTGTCATCTGCTCTTTCAAACGTTTCTGCTTGTTGTCGTCTGCTCGTTCAAACGACAGCCGCCCGTATACAAAACACTGACCCGGTAATTGCGATAAAAAGTAAGTGCAGGCCTCAAAAGACTTTTAAAGGGGCGGTGCAATGATTTTAACACTGAACGAATGTGCAGCTTGTATTTTTTATATTGTTTACTTCGGCATAAGTAAGAGAAAAAGTGCCATCATTCCCCAAAATACCTCTATTTCGCTGCGTAATCGCAAAATAAAAAGCACTTTTTTTTCACGACCTGCGGCCACATGGTGGCCGCAAATGGAACCTGTGGTGTGACATCATTCGGAGTGTTTTTTCTAAGTGACAGTGTTAGGCAATTGTAAGCTTGATTTAAGGTTAAGTTTAAAAAATCTTGTTGTTTAGGCATGCAGAAATGCTTCAAAAGCCTAATATTGCCGCTAAAAGATTTTTCGCGCCATCTACAGCAAGTCAACCAAACCTGCCGTCGCCGTCATCCGTCGACGCCCGAGGCACCCGAGGCGCCTACGGCGGCTACACGAGCAACCCGGACGTTTTGTCTTTCCCTCGCTCGACAGAGTGCGTTGGTCGTGGTCCGTAGTATCGTTATTGTTCCTGGTGTCTCGACCTCGACTTCGACTGCCCGCCGCACAAGTCCAACTGACTTACTATACGCAAGCACCTTGCGCTCGACGTCGCTCAGGCCGTCCGCCCATGCCGCCATGTTGGCCGGGAATCCACGGGAGAGCGGGAGAGCGGCGAGCCTGGCGAGCCGACGAGCGCTGGGGAAACGGAAGCCAGAAGCACCCAACCGGAAACCAACGCCACTCCGAATGATGTCACAGGCGAAGCTGGTGCCGCTTCAATGTTGAGTTGAGGGGTGCCAGAGATATCATTTTTTTTTTCTTTTTTTTTATTGAAAACTAGGGCAAGTAGGAAACAATGGTTTTCGGTCCTTCGTTTCATATGTGGCCGGGATCAATTTCCGCAATTAATTAGCCAAAGTCCGCAAATTGTTGCACCGCCCCTTTAAGCTTGAAGGTTGGTTGGAGTAAGTTGGCTTGAGGTAAACAGTAAACAGTAGATACAATGAGATGTTGATAATTGTTACCAGTGGCCATCACCAGCTTGTTATGCCTGATTCAATTGGTCCGATTCTGCTTGCGATTTTCAGTATCGATGTCGACCATTTCAGTAACGGTTGACACTTTTGTAGCCCGAGCTACGCCACGACTGAAAATTGCGAGCAGGATCTCATTATGTGAATCGGGCTTTAGCGTCCATTCTGCGGCATCCATGCGGAATGGATCACCGCATGTCACATTATTCACGCAAAGTTTTGCGGTGTAACGAGCCTCTTTAATTTCACTGAGGTTGCTAAAGTAAGCAGACATTGCCAAGAAGATATAGAATCAACAATTTCAACGCAAAAAAGAACACAGGGACTCGCACCGATGCTGACAACATTGCTTTCTAATGGTGTGTTTATGGGCAACGGCAAGCTTCTTGCCCACACTTCATTGCACATGCGCGGCGCGGCGCCGGTGGCGTCCGCTAGGGGCACTCCGGTTTGTTTGTAAACGTCAGTTGGTCTATAAGCAGTATAGCCTCCGTAAGGCTGGCTATGCTGCTTGTGTGACCTTGACCTATGTGCTGGTCGAGCGTAACATGTAGCTTTTCCTTTAAAACCCACCCCTATAACATATTTTGTGTTAATACTCAACATGTTTGGTTCTTTATTAATGTTAAGTCACCTACTGACAGTTCTATCCATCATTGCTTTGCGCATTCATCTGACAATTTTACATTTGCAGATTAGAAGAAATGCTGGTCATGGGTCTGAGAACTTCACGAGGAATAACCAATGAGGTGGGCTTAAGAGGGACGTTCTTATTGCTTTCTGAACTCACCTGGTGACTATATTTTCAACAGGACTGGTTCGTTGTGTCCCAGGGGACATCGCTGAAGGACACCTTTGAAGGATCTTCCCAGACTCAAAGGTTGCTCGATGCTGGACTTATTCTACTGGACACCAGGTCATTGATCATTCTTGCTGATTAACTTTACTCTGGGTGGCCTCTAGAAGTACAGATATGAATGTGGTCTGGAATGGCTTGTGCTACACACATCTGATGTGTGACCTTGTGCCGGATGCCAGAGATATACCATGTGCAGAGGTCAAAACAGTTTGCACAAATAATGCGTTCAAAACACATGAGGCTATCATTCAGACGGTCTTATCCATTGATGCAGTTATTGGCAGCAAGTGCGAGAATAATGTGTTTAGACAGATAATGATGGGAACATTTATTCATGCTTAGTAAGGAAGTATGAGGACTAGTTTGTAGGGCATCATCAAAGATAAAGCATCCTGTAAATGAAAGAATGCAAGACAAAAGAGCATGTCAGTGATGTGACTGCTGCGTCAAACTGCGTCACTTGTGCCAAAGTGCTACATCCTGCCACATTTCATCATAATGTGAGAAATCTGCACCAACATTGCACCAGATCTTAATTTCACTGAAAATGCAGTAGCACAGACCCTACTACACGGCCGGATTGTTACAGCAGGCTTTTGTGATTTTTCAGATCTTATGATTATCACCTTACATAACATACTATTTGGTTTTATCTCTTATCAAACACTGACAGTACTCTGAAGTTTTGTGGTCTGTTCTGGCGAGTCAGTTCATTTGCATATCCTGCTTTGCCGCAGCACACGCTAGTGCTAAGGGTAAAGCATTCCTCCAGGGCAAAACTTTACATATGCAGGCATTGGGTAACTAAAAAGAAAGGGAAGGAAGTTGGTAAGTGTAGTTTTAATAACTCTACCTAGCAGTAAACCGTTCTGAATAAAGCTGCAGCTGCATATAGTATAGACTGCGATACTCGGACAATATCTTTTTCGTATTCCAGATCTGGCACCTGGGTCAGCACCTGGGTACTGCGAGATGATTTATATAGATTGCTTTAGAGGTTTATTTTTATTATGTCAACCCTTCTATTTAGTTATCTCCTTTATATAGGTTTCATCTCTTCAATGACAAAGTCAATAAGGTAAATTAAAAAGAGATTAGCTGGAGCAGTGGATGGAAGCTTGAGAATAATTTTAATGTATTCGGCTGGACTGTTTTTAAGATGTCATATTTATTCTTCACGTTCTTATTTTTTTATTATGATCTTTACCTGTAAAATGCAATTAATTTATGTAATATAATGACAAAACCTTTGTTTTTTTATCTGAATTAAGAGCTGCAGTTTTATTACGACCTTTAGAACTTGAATGAAACATCAATTTTGGCTGCTCAAAGTTATTCTATTATAACATTATGTCAGTACAATCTACAATTTGGTCCACCTTTGATTTCGTACCGAAAATAATCATTCACAGCTTTTCATGCCGTTCTTTATCAATCAGCACCTCGTTGCTGTGCCTGGTGTTACTACGCAAAACTAAGCAGGTAAAATGTGTTTGAGGGAACCAAACTTGCCGTGCAATGATTCTAACGCTTGCACAGAAGTGGGAAAGCGGAGTGGATATTTTCTTTTAATGAGATAAGATAACACCTGAATCTTAACGTAATAATTACTGCAGTAGGAATACAACTGAAGTGTCTGCTTATGCTCCAAAAGTTCCTTGGCTGCTCCAAGAGGTGCTCCAAAATGGCTCGGAACAATCACATCACTGGCATGTGTAAAGAAAGAAAAAATGCCCCCAAAGAAGGAAATGTACCAGCTACAAAGATATGAAATACTAACAAAACCGCAACCCCTTTTGCATTGCACATTCCAAAATCTTGCAGAACTTTTAAGGCCATGAATGATGCATTTGCCCGAGTCTTGCATATTAATCTAGTGCACCGTTATTTTTTTAGCTGATGATTAAGTTAATCAGGTTACCTTAAAGTTATTATAGTGTGAGTGGGTGGTGCGATACAGAGCCGTAAATGTAGAGAGTTTGGCCATTCGTTGGGAAGTATAGGAGACAAATCAGGAGGCGCCATTGGCCGAAAGCGGGCTGGGCGTGTTCCAGGGCGTCTTCAGAAATTTGAATGTGACCAACCAGAAGCCGGAAATAGTACCCTGGCGGTGGTCGCGAGAAACAAACCTGATAACTGCATTGGAGTAACTCTCAATGGCTGAAAATACGGTACACGTGATGTTTCAATCACTTTAATCCTAAATGATGGTGGAAGAGTGCGACTAGCGGAACGATCGACATGATTCGTGCGCCAAGCGCCCAGGGCCGAGAATCTGCCGTCCGAAAGGTCACACTCTGTCTGCGCAAAACAGAGTTGCGCGGCGCATTCGTTTCTTACATCTTTCTGCATGATCATGATCAAAACAACACGTGCACCCTATTTTCAACCACAAAGAGTTACTACACTTCACTCTTACGCGCTTATTAAAACCATATACGAACATAGACTTTTGATCAGAACTGTTTGCCGCTACCACCACTAGGGGATTCTTTTCGGCTTCTGGTTGGTCAAGAGAGCATGCCAAGCCCTCTTTCCGACTCTGCCGCACGCCCCGACTTTGCCCGCACCTCCCATTGACCAAACTCTCTACATATACGGCTCTGGTGCGATAGTACCACAGCCTGTGAAGTGGGATGAGGCTGTAAGTTGGCCATTGGTCTTGGTTGTCAGGTTCAGTAGACAAGGAATTCCTATTCATGTAAAATAGTGTGACAAGTAACCGAGTCAGTTGGATTGAATTTGCATTTTTGGTCTGCAATTATTAGAGAAAAGCTAAAAGGGTGAAATGTCTTACACTATCACTGACCTTAATTTGTGGCCTATTTTATGTTGTCACACCGACTTTTTCTTTTAAAAAAATTAATGCACACTTCCCCCAAAGTTTACTTTTTCAAGTTTTATATGCAGCAATGTCACAAATGCCGTTTTTAGAAATTTGGTTTGGGCATTTTTTTAGAATCGCCTGTTGTTCCCATGCCATGTTTGGCTTTTAGTTTCTTGAGAACTTTCCACATATATATATAAAATGTAAAACACATCACACCAGGCCATATCTGCTTGGTATTGCCGGGAAAAAAAAAACATAATGGTGATTTTTAAGTTGTAAAAATTTGGCAACCTTCAGGATTTTTGGCGCAAAGCGCAGCGGCCTTGTGCGTAACTGAAAATGTTTGCTGCCCGCAATGTGTGTGAGCACCGCAATCTGCTCACTGCTAGGCTTTACTCACTGCACAATTTGACTCCGACGGACCGACTACTCTTCAAAAAATCATTGAAGTTATCGTTCTGCATTGGCCATCACTATAGGCATCATGAATTTCTTCCCACGAAAGTGTTGATATAAGGTGCTGCTTCGACAGGATGATCACGGAGGCACCATGGTCGAATTGCGTTACACATTTGTACTCTTACTCTTAGCCTCTTTACCTCACACAAAAGTGCAGTTGACCAGGCAGCTATGACTTGGGTTAATTTGAAAAATTAAAAGAAGATCATTTGGTGAATCCTTATGGCATGCATTAGAAGACCCTTGGGAAACACCAGCAGCATCTGTTGCCTGACAGTGTCGCTGTTCACTGGTTTCGGCAACTTCTCCCTTTCGTTCACAATCCGTGTTTTTTGCCTCCTACTTAGACCAGCGCTAGTACTTGGTTCACACTCCATTTTGTAGCACAAACAAAGGCATACACGCTTGCCACACCTGCAAGTCCAGACTTACCCCAGCATCCGTATGCGCATTGGCTTCCGCCCTGTGACGTCGCCTTTCTCTCACCTCACCTCGCTGCGCCGTGCCGCATTCGCATTGACTTTCTCCTTGTGACTTTGCCTCCCTCTTGCCTTTATCCTTCACTATCCTCCTCTTATCTATGTGGCACGCTTCCCTTTGCACTATTTTTTTGTCCACAGATAGATGCCGTCAGCTTTTCCCTGTCATGTGGATACTAATGCTAAATCATTAATATGTTTTCCAAAAATGCATGCCATTGTGAGGCTTGACATCAAGAGAGCACCAGCAATCTGTCGTAGTGTTGAGCTTTGGTTTCAAGAATTGGTTTACTGCCATTAACAGCCAGGCTTTTTGCTCACAGCCTTCAAAGAAAATCTAGTCTTTTCTTTTTAAATTTGAAAAGAACTCAATTTTTTTGTGACATTTTACTAGGCACTTCTTGTTACTTTTGGCACTTCAATTTTATTGCTTTGCTTACTGCTTCATCAAACTTTCTAGCAAAAGCGGTCCAGACACATGCTTTCTCTATGAATGCATTGCAGTTATATGGAGGATGAAAACGAACGTCTCGTGCTGTAGGCAACATTCATTACGGCTGCACTGGTGGTCTTCGAAAAGCGTTAACAGGCACCCTACAAGAGTTTCATTTTAATGTGATTAGTAGCTTTTCTCGAAATACCTAGTTGTCTATGTGTACTTATCAGTCCTTGTTTGTTTCGATCAAGATACTAATTTATTTCTAGATTTGCTAACTGCTGTCATTAGCTTATAGTAGTTAACAGATCTAAATGAAAAATTACTTCTTTACTAGAGTTACATACACATGCATAGTGATGTCACTGTTGTGCCATATAATGCCAAAGTGTTCAGCCCGCTGCATTCTGCTACGTTTCACCAAAAAGCGAGGAATTAACTCCAATGTTTCGCCAGAAGTTAATTTCCCTTTCTTAATACCAAAGCCAATACCTCATGCCCCATCCCACTACACTGCCAGATCATTACGATAGGCTTGTGCGAATATTGGAAACTTCCAATTATATTTTTAAACAATGTTTATTCAGTTTGGCCCTCGGACGAGCGCTGACAGTACTTGAAAGTTTCCCAATCTTTTTCATTCTTCGAAGTTTGGAACAATGGACCTTTTGTAGAAACATCGGTTCGAGAGTAAATGCTTCCAGTACTCTCTCTTTCTTCCTTCTGGCCGAGCAGAGAGGGAAGACGGTTTCGTCAAATACTTCGGGGCGGAAGATTACGCACGGTGGGGACAAAGGCGAGTTTGCGGGAGTCGTATCTAGGTCTCAGCGCCTCAATGGGTGAACAGGATGTAGCTGACGTTTTGGGTGTGGAACGGGTGGGAGAGGCCTTGCGCGCGCGTTGTTTTCTCGCCACTTAGCCTCGAACCCAGTCGCGTGTCTAGGTGGCAGCACATATTTGCCAAGAGGTCCATTGAATAGCTCTGTTTAGTGCACTTCTCACCGGGGCTTTGTGCACTCCATAGAAGCACCACCGGCGGAGTTACTGCTTCAGTGCTGTGTATCTTGCTTAGCCACAGCGCAGCTGCATGCTTATTGCAACCGTCAGCGGTTGAACGAAACATTGTTTTTCCTAGTGGTGAGGGTTACTTTGTTCTGACATTACTTAGCTGAATACAACTTGGTATTTCTTTGATTACGTACTTTAAATTGTCATGCACATATTCTCCTGCTATGTGCTTAGTCAATCAGCATCTGTTTCAAAAGTGGCTGCCCTAATACAACTTTACTGCGTGATTAAGGCCATCAATAAACATATTTCTCATCTCACCTCACACAACTTCTTAAAACAAAAACAAAAAAAAGATGATCTTGCCAGCATTATTCTTGTCATGTCCGGTGCACATTTAAACAGTCGGTAACCGGACAAAAGCTCACCGGACAAAAGCTCACCGGACAGAAGCTCACCGGACAAAAGCTCACCGGACAAAAGCTCACCCGTTTTTTGACAGACCCGGACAAAAGCTCACCCGTTTTTTGACAGACCCGGGCAAAAGCTCACCTCGATTTCTTTTTTTTTTCCTACCCGGGCGAAACACGGGCTGAAATAAAGTGCGGACGCAATGGACATTTGACCATTTTTAGGAGAACTTGTACCTCATCCAACATTGAGTTGCGAATTTTTTTAAAAATACTTTGAAAGAACGGGAGTTTGGCCTTTTGGAAATGTACAAGACAGATGACCAATTTAAAAAAAAAAATTGTGCGGGATTTTAGATAGGCTCGGGTTCCTTCCACCACAGCTTGTTCTACGAGAACTAACCACCAGGGAAAAGTCTACCGGTGACATCGGCTACCTGCTGGACTATTTTGATTGCACGTATTTCAACAGCCGCTTTCGTTATGCTTCTGTTCCGTCTGCGGCGGCGCCCAGAGCGAATTCTTCCCTTCGCCTGACTCTGCGCCGGCGGCGACCGGAGTTTCCCCCGGTACGGTGGAATATGTACGACACCATTCTTCAAGACAAAGACCGGATGAGCAGCACCTGCGAAAGATAGAGTACCGGGTTCCAGAAGCTCGTCGGCCACGCCCATCCAAGCGTCTTGAGGCTGATTGAATGCCTACAGCAAAATCAGGCGCTCGTTGCCACGGCATTGACAAAAGCCCGGAGAGGTGAGCCCACTGTAAGGCGGGTGCGAAAAATTACTCTGCACCTGCAGAATCGTCTTAGAAATATTTGCGAGGGCTTGCATGTACATCGAGATCTACCAAGACTACTGGAGCTAGTGGGGGACTGCATTCGCTTGTAACCAATCGATTAATCAACTTATTTCTACTAAAATCAACAAACCATGCACCTGTCAGATTTAATTTATCGTTGCCTTTTTGTGTCGCACGCATGCACTTAAGTTGTCCGCACTCGTGTTAAGACCAACATGAAATTTTCTCGTGGTGAGCTTTTGTCCGGGTCTGTGAAAATATGGGTGAGCTTTTGTCCGGGTCTGAGAAAAAATGGGTGAGCTTTTGTCCGGTGAGCTTTTGTCCGGTGAGCTTCTGTCCGGTGAGCTTTTGTCCGGTGAGCTTTTGTCCGGGATTCTAAACAGTCGGTTAAGTGTTTGGGGGAAGCAGACTGTCTAATAGTGACTGGTTCCACATATGGGATAAATAAAAAAAAAGAAGATATTGTTTTTTTAGTCGAACATGCCAACATGTGAATCCTAATAAAACGAGAATCAAGTGTAAATTGTGCTCAAAAAAAAAAGCTCAAAAGCAGCTTGGACGGATTACTGCATGCAGTGTTTTTATGTATCAGCTACAGTGTGTCTGTAGCTCGATCCTGCCATGCATTTGAGCTCCAGAGTTCTTACAAGTTTCACCTTCTTCCTTTCAAGCAGTGCCCTTCGACCCACCGAAGAAGGACTCAACGTGGCCGACAGCCTAAGCTGTGCACTGCTGCCTTTACTGGCGGAAATGGAGTCTGCAACAGCTGTCTAATAAACAAAGGGTCACACGACGGTTATTTCTTCATTTGACTCGCCAAAAGCGATGTCTTTCTGTCCTGCAAAAGTTTATGATCAATCAAAATCTCTTAATTATTGTTCTAGTAAAGCCATTTATAGATTGAGAATTTGTAAATACAATTACAACGTCAGAAAAGTGCACGCAATGATTCAGATACACAGTACGAAATGGTTTTGTAATTAGGGAACAGTGGTTCTAAGTGGGATCGTGCAGCCGTTGTCCGTTAAAATTTTTTTGTTTTTGCGTATACTGTACACATGCGCCTGGATTACATCCGGCATAAATGGTTCTGCAATTACATAAATGAGGAAAGATAGTGTCGTAAAGGGCCACGTTTCGCTGTCGGACGGCCGAGCGCGCGCATTCGTCAAGTGGCCGCGCTGAGCTCGGCTGTGTGACCTCTCTGGAGTCTGCCCGGGCGGGCTCTGGCTCTGCCGCCATCGCTCCCTCCTCTTACCGGCGGCCGCCGCGCCGCTGCGTGGCGTGCGCCGCCATTAAGAGAGTGTTTGTGGTGGCTTTTTTTTTTTTTTTTTAACTTCGCCGCACGAGAGCCAATGGGAGCCTCGTTCCTTGATGATGCGCGCCAGCCAATGCGAGCATAATCCATCAGAAATCTGCTTTACTTGGGAGAGGTGAGCTTAGGTGCCGTTTGGTCAACATTTGGCATGGTGTCAAAGCTGATGACGTCGGTTCGCTCCGTGGGACCAGTTAATGCTTTCGCATTAAAAATCTTTCCAACGCAAGAACATTGTACCTTAAGGACGACTCGACCTGAGCTTTGCACACCACGGCTTCGGTCAATTTTGGTGGCACGAAAAAAAGAAATATGTGGTTGGAACAAACTACGGGTTACCTTTTATGGAGTTTAATATTTCTGTCAAGAAACTGTCCTTCCTTTTATACCCGCGTCATGTATGGCAACGTCAGAAGCTGCATTATCACTTAATGCGTGCAAAATAATGGATATTTCATCGTCTGCATTGCATCCGTTATTTAATCTGCCCCGAGGGGCCTACAGGAAAATTCAGTCAGCGCGCGTGCGAACTGGTATTTAATCCGAGACTGGTGTAGTCTCGGCTCCGATTCATCACTTCAAGTCCGATTGTAGCTGACGCTTCGACCCGATATGGAGCCAATCGAGCGGATTGAAGAGCGCATCATGACGAGGCGCTCGTAGCCCATATGGGCAACGCACATATCCCATACCTTCATCCGGTGATGTGCTAACGCAGGAGGGGGATTACATTGTCAACCGCCGTACCCGCTGACGCTAGTTTCTACAAATATAAACTAAGCATGAATGGACTAAAAGCTCGTTCACACGATGGCGTCGAGTGCGTTGAGCTGCGTTCCGTCGTGCAGCGCAGCGCCTCCCCGTCGGCTCGTCGTCGTAAGTGTCGCCACAGCAACGAGTCGCACTGAAACGCAACTGTTTTGATCGAGCCTTAGCGCATGAATTTGAGAAACCGACTCGACGGTCTGATTAACGATGTGCTGAATTGCGGAGAACGGATATGAACTCGCAGGTTTAGTGCTCACTGTTTAATCTCCAAAAAGACTAATTATCATATATTGTAGCGTGAACTACACTGGCCCAGGTTGAGCAGTTTCGCGTGGCTCGCATAATGAGCCGTGCTCCGTGCTGCGCGAGGACCAGTGACGTCACACGGCGCACAGCTGGCGGGACGGAGCCGCCGTCGCCGCGGGCTCCGCCGCCACTGCCCGCGCCTCACCGGTCTTCGCATTAGAGGAGAGACGTCATAGCCGCGACAGACGCACTGGCGCCGCCGCGTGCCCAGCTGTGTGCCTCCGTTGCGCAGTAGCCAAGTCTGACGCTTCACCGCATCTGCTTGATAGCGCCTCTCATTTTTTGCGCATAAGCTCGCGCTACGTATATCCTGGCATAGCCGAGCTAAGCCATCGTAATTTTTTTATATTAATGACCTGTAGAGTGTAAAAAAGAAGCGATATAGTGTTCACGTATTTTCTTTGAAGTATAGATACTCAAGATATGCTTTTTCAACTGTCGGCCCTGCTAAATATTCTTTAAGGGCATTTCATACGTTTGGCCTTAAAAAATAGGCTATTTATTATAAAGACTTTTTTTCTACGACGTACTGGGGATGTTAGATGGGTGACCAACCTGTTTAGTGAAGTCTCACATCTGTCTTCCGTGAAATTTGCCAAATTAAATTAAAAGGCACGTAGCCATCGCCAAGTTTAGTTAAAGTCGAATGCCAAGCATCCCTTCATGGATCTGTGCACGTAGATAGATATTTATCCGGTTGAATGGGTGCGCTTTTACTTTCAACGGCGTCGCCAGCCGCTGAAAGTAAATTCATCTAAAATATCGGCGTTGCATACGGCGTACCTCAAGCGCTCACAAAACCTGTGACAGTTTTCCACTCAGGAAACTCTACCAGTTTTAACGATTTAATTGAATTCGATATTTTAAGAAAATTATTAAAGTAATTGAGTGACTACCGACTAAGAACTGAATGTAGTTCGTTTAAATTAACAAAATAAGCCGATCGAGGCTTCAAAAACAATATGTGTTTATGTAGCAAAAAAAAAAAGTCCAGGCGAGTGCTTATACGCTCATATAATCCAAAGCCATTCTAGATTTGTTAAGAGGGCAGGGCGCGTTGATCTCGAGAAGCACGCAGATACGGAACCCAGTCACGTGGGTATCTGGTATGCGGGAGGAAAAAATAATAAAACATTTCAACTTGGAATACAAGAATCTGTGACAATCACGCATTTTTCGTGAACACCTTCAAGTGGCGTAGAGAGAGCAAAACAATGTTTTACCGAATACCAGAAGTGACGACATTCAAGATGGCTGCGTCCTTGTGGAAAAGGTGTGTCGTTTTTAAAATTCCGATACACGCTATCAGAAATATACCTCCAGCTTCTTATTGCGAATGCTCCGTCACTATTACCCCCCATTCACACTGGAAGCGGATCCGCGTTCGCGAAGCGGTTGCGAACGCGGTTGTATAAAGATCCAGTGCAATTGCACGCGCATTTGATGTCATCAAATGCGCGTGCAATTGTACTGAATCCTTATACAACCGCGTTCGCAACCGCTTTGCGAACGCGGATCCGCTTCCAGTGTGAATGAGCCCTTACTGAGCGGACCTGTGCTGTCATAAGCAATTAGCCTTTCAACCCTCATGCCGTCTTATGTGGAATTCCCTAGCTGGATTTGGAGCGATCCAAGAGCGCTCCATGCTCGCGCCTTTGGTACGCCAATCGCAAGCGCGCGCTTGCACGCGCAACAGGATAATAACGAAAAAGCGCCTCCCAAACCGCTCCAAATCCACCGAGGGGAGTCTCTATTAGAGTCGTCCTGATGCTCAACAAATATTTTACTCTATACTCATTTCCACCTCAAGAATCGTAGTAAAAAAAGTTCGGCTTCTCGCGGAGCATTACTAATTTCCCTCTTTATGCTGAGAATTGAGGTATATGTAGGTGCATTTCATATTAGATATATGTTACCCTATGAAGACGTACACGTTTCAACCGCCAAAAGCATCGCTCCTGCGCCTGATGACCAAATTTTGTGAGAACTATTTCGCGTGGCGTAGGAACATGGAGCAAAACTTCCTTTTTTCTTGAGGTGAAAACGGGTATAGTCCGTTGCAACTCAAGAAGGTAGGGCGAGGGAAAAAAAAAAGGAGCGGGGACGAGGAATCAGACGGAACGCTGGAGAAGAGAGGGAGAAACCTCCCCCTCTCTTTAGCGTTCCGTCTGCTTCCTTGTCCCCGCTCTTTTCTCCTCCTCGCCCTACCGTCTGGAGTTGCAACGGACTATAAGAGAATACAGGGCACTCTGCTTATTTGCATTAGACAGAACGATGACAGCGCCATAAAACAGCCCTGGTGGATTTGTTTATTTGGCGACGCCTCTTTCCCCCAGCCGCCTCCTCTTCCCGCCTGAGCACGTGAAGGCGACGCCTCGGAATGTGGTGCGGTTGACGGGGTCGCAAATGCGAAGAATGTACTTCTGCCGATGTCACGCGTGTTTCGTCAGATCTTTTTTAATGCGAAAGCATCAACTGTCCCATGGAGCGAACCTACGTCATCCTCTTTTGAAGCCGCGCCAAACGGCACCTTCCCCTGTCCCAATGGAGCGAAGCCTGTCGTGTGTTGCAGAAATGTAAGGGATATGCTCCCATCGGCTGGCGCGCGTCATAGTTTCAAGGAACGAGGCTCCCATTGGCTCTCGCGCGGCGTAGTTCCAAGGAACGCCACCGGAGAAGCCCTCTTCATGGCAGCGCAGCGCACGCAGCGGCCCTGCCGCCGGTAAAAGGGAGCAGAGCCCGCAGGGGCGAAGCCCGGAGGGGTTGCACGGCCGAGCTCAGCGCGGCGCAGCCGATTCACAAGAGCGCGCTCGGCCGTCGGCCACTTACCTGGGCAGTAGGGAGCCTTCATGTGCGCTTTGCGAAGCGCACATGAAGGCTCCCTACTCGGCAGTACGGCAGTAGCCAGGGGGATGGCATGACGTCACGAGCCTAGCCTCCGCAAGGCAACTTCTTCTGAAGCCCGACACCCTGAAGCCGCCTCTCCCCCTCCCCTCCTCACATTTTTTTCCGGAAACGGTATGCATCTCGGGACGAGTCGGCCCCGCCACGTGACTTTTTCTGGTAGGTGTTGGTAGAGGCGCTATTATGGTCAGCTGTAGTATGTTCAATTTACGGAGCAGGCGGTGAGCGCGGAGGCGGTGGATGTCGGATTTGTAGCGTTTGCTTATCTTTCTTTTGCCTTCTATTTACGGAATAGGCAGTGAGCGCGGAAGCGGTGGGTATCGGATTTCTAGCGTCTGCTTGTATTTTGCCTTGTATTTACGGAGTAGGCAATGAGCGCGGAGGCGGTGGGTGTCGGATTTCTAGCGTCTGCTTGTATTTTGCCTTGTGTTTACGGAGTAGGCAGTGAGCGCTGAGGCGGTGGGTGTCGTATTTGTAGCGTCTGCTTGTTGTTCTTTTGC